TCGGTCAAAACGGCCCCAAGTCAAAACGACTCCAAGTCAAACGGCGGCCCCAAGTCAAAACGACTCCAAGTCAAAACGGCTATTGCACATTTGCATGCCTTGAAAATTATTATACAAATAAAATTATTATTACACGAGTTCAAACTATAATACGTTTTATGACAAATTATAAAATTAATTCAAGGATTAGGTAATTTAGATTGTAAATATTGAACTATGGAGTTATTTTATTCAAATATTCAACTATGGAGTTGTTTTATTCAAATATTAATTCTCGACTTCGTCTCGGTGAAGGAATTTCCCCGATATAAATCACCTCGCCTTCGACAAATAAATTGTTAAATTTCACCTTTGCATGCTGTAATTTCTGGTAATGGATTTATTTTTGTTATATAGTAACATAATAGTTCGAACAATCCAAGCGGGGCCGCCATTTGACTTGGGGCCGTTCTGGCCCATCGCGAGCATGTGTGTGAATTGATTTAATTAATTTTTTTTAATTTAACAGCTTTGTTTGGCACGCATGCAAACAGGTACACATTATTGTATATAACTAGCACAAACTAACACAAAAACAACAATATGTAAAAACGTGCCAAAGATGGAGAAGCACAAACGAGACTAGGTCCCATGCATGGTGCTCACCATTAATTAATCAGGACAGTACAGACAAAACAACACATTAATATAGAATAGAAAAAGTACATGAGAAGAAGTAAAGAAATTAAGAGAGAGGAGAAGAGAACGACTGATATAGAAGATATTATTCAGTCGTGATCAATGAGTGTGAGCTAGGTACGTCAGGAGTGTAAGCAGTGGCAGTAAGTTGGAGGTAGGTCTTGTGGAGGTATGTTTTGAAGGAGGAGAGAGTGTCGAAGCTGTTCGAAGGAGCAGTTTTACATGCATAGTTCCACAGATTTACAATCCTAACAAAGTAGGAACTCTGGAATGTGCTAGTCTTACAAGCTTGTGATCTTAAAAGCTGAGAAGTTCCCGCACGTGTTCTGCTTGTCGAAGTTTCAACATAATGTTCCACGTCAAGATCTATCAAATTGTTCTTGCATTTATAATAAAAGATCAGATCTTTCTGTTCTCTATCGTACACAAGCGGGACTAGATTGAGTTTTTTTAACCGTTCCACATAAGAAAGTTCTCCACGTTTTGATCCACATTGTTGCTCTCCACTGTACACCTTCGATTTTTATCGAGAGCTGTCTGCTACTGTGACACCAGATTCATATCCGAACGTGAGCTGAGTTTTAACCAACGTCAAATACAAGGTACGCCTAACTTGGGTGTTCGTAATTTCAAAGCATGTTCTTTTAAGAAGACCAAGCATTTTGTTTGCCTTTTCAACCATCTTTAATATATGAGGGCCCCATTTCAGATCGCTAGATACAAGAAGGCCAAGATTGGACAGCCTCGTCCCCGGCGCTTTGATGTTGCGTGACGCGCGCGCGGGAGGACACGCGTGGGGGGAAAGGAAAAATTCGGAGCGAAGCGCCTGGGAGAAAATGCTTTCAAGATGGCGGACAAAACAAGTGATTTGCATTTTTGTCTTGACAACGATAGTGAAGATGGTCAGTATAAACAGGTAAACATTTTAAAATTCAAATTACTATTTTAGTATTTCATGGAATTCTTGAAAAAATGTTGGGAATAAGTGGTAGACTTTATTTTTTAGGAAACAAGCCACAAATATTTATGTGTGGTTGTAGATATAAAACCTTTTTGTATTTACTGTAACTTTATGCGACAATTTCATCCCTCAATCCCGAAATTAAATGGTTGCACAGTACAGGTATATCAAGAGATGAAACTATGATGTGCTAGTATATTAAATTGGGAATTAAGGTTTTACATATTTAGTCAAGGGTTTTGTTATGCATGAGCTTGTGGTGAACTGCTGAACTGGTGCAGGTCTGCAGGACAGAGCTCAGCTGCTAGGGGCAGCTGATCTGAGAAGTGAGAAGGCATGTTTTATATCTAGGATTGTAGTTTATGTCCTCTCTGATAGTTTGTTGCATGTATATATTAAGTTATCAAAGGGGCAGTGTCACGGTTCTACTGCGCATTCAAAATATGCGCGAACTTGAAAAACTGTCTGCCAACAATTAATGAAGTTAGGAGTGAAATACGATATGCTATTTATAATCCCTTCGTTATGCAGGACATCCTTGCTTTGTTTTAAAAATTGAAGGCTGCTGCTGCATCTTTTCAATCATGTAGCATTAATTTTAAACGTTTCTTTGCGCCGTTTATTTTAGCCAATCAGTGCCGTGACACTGCCCCTTTAAATTGTTTCTAGTTCTGCCCTGTTTCTGTCCCTGAGGTTATTAAGGGCTGTTAATGCGGACAGCTAGCCCAGTAAGCGAGACCTCACCGTGTGGTTATTTTTATATTTTTATAGTGGAAATTCCTTTCAATTTGTATGGACAACCTGACGGGCTCAGAGAGATCTCACTTGAAGAAGGCAACATCTCACTTGAACAAGCAACATCTCAGTTATACCGGGAGGATATTTTGTGGCTATACAAAACACTAACCAGACTGACTTGGTCAAAATAAAGTCAAAACAACAAAATTGGTCATGACAATATTGTCAAAACAATAGAGACGCAGAAATTTCCAACAATGAGTGCATGCTACTGACATTGTTATTGAAACTGAGTACAAAGCAACATGTTTGAAAATTAAAGATGCAAATTCTTGATTAATTTTGTATTATTTTAGATTAAATTAATTATTAAACCTAACTGTACAATCAAGTTACATGTAATAGAGTATTATTATAACTTTGTAGCTCCATAGGCTATTCTTTCGCTGTTCCAGGTTTTGATCCACAAAGTTATAGAGAAAAGTCATTGTTAGTTCTGCCAATTAGGTCTGGCAAGTGCTAGTGTACCACTACACCACTACTCTTGCGACTTGATCATTCAAAAGAATTTGTATTAATCTCTTGTCCACATGACTTACATTATCCTGAATGAGAAATGGCCATTGTGCTTATAAAATAGTGACAGTACGTATCATTAGAACACACTTTGAAGAAATATTGACAGAGTCACATATCCCACAATCCGATTACAGGGAAATTTACTTTAGAGTAGAACCCAAACCCAACTGTTCAGGTAGACATTTATATGTTAACCAATTGAGTGCCAGCACTCTCCTGTTGACGAGTAAAATTGTTGGTGTTAGACACTTGGACAAAGTAACATAATAAAGTAGGGTGCAATGCAACCTATTAAATGGGTTCATTATGGTATGTCAGATAAATTGACTCGTGCAATTTTTCACATATGAGTTCTGGCATTTATAAGCCCTAGTTTGAAACCAACTTTAAAGCCTACAACAGGTAATTGCAGCCAACTATTAAGTTAACCCATTAGGCTGCCATGCACCCAAGCTTGTTATTTTACTTTCAGACCCTCTTATGGCAGGCAATTTTACTTCTCAAGGGGGCAGTCTTGTCCATTAATGCATTAATTGTGTTTCTTAACTCCCAAATTAAGTTTCATTTTACACCTTTCATTCCTACAAATACTTTTAGAACTACAACTCTAATGACTGTGGGATTTATAAAACTCTGACAAATTATGTTTGGCCAGATGAATATTGTAAACATCTGAATATAAGCCCTGGGCTTATATTTGTTTGTACTTTGTAAGCATTTTTGATGGACTGACCTGTTGGAATCCTGGCCCTCACTGCATTAATAAATACCTGTCGACGGGCTTGCATTAGAGGTGGCTTATATTCGGAATCGCCCGAGTAAATATGGATGGTGGGATTATACATAGGGGGGGTGGGAGGGGGGGGGGTGTTATATGTTGGGGGTTATATGTTTATGGTAATTGCTTGATTGCAATGGGTATTGAATGGTTTGAATCTGATATCTTTGGCCTAGCAAAACCTTTTTTTCACTTGTCTGTCATGAATTGACAATTTAATAATACAACTACACAGTAATTATAAATATTAACTGCTACAAAGAAGTAAAGAACCTGGCAAAGATATCACTCAAAATTTGTCAGGGAAAATTTACTAATACTAAATAAATATAAGTGTACAGTGTAAAGGACTCAAAAATCATACGCAGCCTTAAAACCCTACGAACACGTTGATCAGAATGATTTTCATATAAATATTTGGTTCACATAATAAAATTATAGCAGTCAACAAGACAATAAATCATATTGAAATATATAATGAGACAAATTCATACAAATTTACCTTCAAAAGAAATATTGTGAAGAGATTCACTGATCTCGTCCATGATTCCGTCGTGAATAAAGCAAAATAATCAAGAAAATCGAACAATGGCTTTGAAAGTACAGAAATCGACAGAAATTTCAGAAATCGACACGTTTTCTGCGAGGCGCTTCCGCGTCCCGTAGGGTGAACACTTTTTTCCATCCAGCAAACCGCCCTATCGATTTTGTAAAGTCGTTTCTTTTTGGATTTTTTCATTAATTCGGTTAGGGTTAGAGTTAGGGTTGAGGTTAGGGTTAGGGTAGGGGTAGGGTTTGGGTTAGTTACATAGCCATTTAACACCTGCGAAAATGACGCCAGGTCAGTTTGCTGGATGGAAAATAGTGCTAACCGTCCCGTAGTGAGCAACGCACCTCGATTCCCGCGCGTGCGTCACGCAACCAGTAAGCACATCAAAGCGCCAGGGACGAGGCTGAAGATTGGATATGAGAAAATTAGTTTCCGTCCTTCCCAATAATAAAGACTTTCATATACGTCACTACGCCACCGCAAGTCTGCATTCACAACGGCAAGGTAAGATTGAGCATGGTTTAAACAATCGACTCATTCTGACAACTGTGTTTTGTGTTAGAGTTGACCCCCGTCACTTCTGTGACGTCATATGAAACCCAAGAAATTCAAGAAAAAATGCCCTCATCTTTAGCCAATCATATTTGAGTAATTTTCATGATGATTTTGCCCTCTATAAGATTAATCCTGAAATTGGGCGCCCTGTGGTTCATAGTACTCGATCACATCTTATTAAAAGATACAAGTTGTGCCAAAATTGTTAAAATTTACTTTTCTGGTGTATTTTTCACTGTTTTTGAAAGTATACGAATGTCTGGTAGCAAGGCACTCGTCTTATTTTCGTTCCTGGCATGTTGTTCAGCTTATAACATCGATGTGAAAACAAACAACCATGTCATTAAAGAAGGCGAGGATGGTTCACTGTTTGGCTACAGTCTAAGTTTACATACTGGAAAGGGTTTTAAAGGTGGGCCAACGTAAGTAACAATCATTCCTTATATATTATTTTTTAGTTGATCATTTTTCATCACTTGAGTTATACACAGGGAGCAGAGGAGAACTTCTTACGAATATATTAAATTTATATAGCACGAGTCAAATCCAATCGCGATCACCCTCCCCCGGGGAATTTGACTTTTGAAAAAATAAGTAGTCAAATGCCCGCCAGAAAAGACAGAAAGTACAGTCAAATGCCCTTCTATAGGGGTAGTCCTGGAATTTTGGCTGAAATTAAGTTAATTAACCAAATATTGACATGAATAGCAATTGTGGTATGTGGCAATTCTACAAAAATTCTAAAACTCTGAAAAATGTATATATTTAATATTATACAATATCAAAGATATATTTGTTTACTATATAACAGTGCCGGATTAACCATATGGCAGAAGCGGCATATGCCACGGGCCCCACGCTTTTGGGGGCCCCGCGCTTACTCTCTTTTTTTTTCCGAATTTTTTTGTTCCATGTTTCAGTGCGAGTCCCAAACAGTGCGCCAAGTGCGGGGCCCTGAAGAGCCCAAGTCCCCGGCCAGAAAACGTGAGGGCCCCAAAATTTAAAAAGCGAGGCCCCATCAAGCTGGGCCCAAACTTTTTTTTTCTTCCCAAGGTCCTCGGAAAACGTCAGGCCCCAAAATTTAAAAATCGAGGTCCCAAATAGCCGGGCCCGAAACGGTTTATTGTTTCCTGTTTCAGCGCAGGGTCCAAACAGTGCGGGGCCCCAAAGAGTCCAGCTCCCAAATAAAAAAACACGAGGCCCCAAAGTTTAAAAAGCGAGGCTCCAAAAGCAGGTCAGCAAACAATTTTTTTGTTCCTTCTCTGGACAAGGGGCTCCAAAGAGCGAGGCCAAAAAAATCATAGGGGTCAGAAAATACCAAAATTTGCAGTAAACTGTTAAATACTAAAAGATTGCTGAATTTTGTGGAAGACGGCAGAATCTAGCTATTTAGCATGTTTAGCTATTTTTCCCCTGTAAGTAATAATAATGCTAATGGTATAAACTGGGTTGAAATTCAGTTCGATCAAATTATTGATGTATAATTATTTTTGTTTGTAAATACACAGGAAACTTTTCAACACATGAAATACAAGAGGATATTTTTTAATCTTACTGATTTCAGTGTCGTTGGAAAGTTGGGGGTGGGGGGTCAAGGGGCCCCGCGCTGATAATATGCCACGGGCCCCGCGGAACGTTAATCCGGCCCTGCTATATAATATATAAAACCTTGAACGCAAGATTAAAAAGAACAAAAAATAGGCCAGCCAGTTCTTTTTGCAACCTCGTACCCAGGCTCTTACCTTCGCACGTCCCAAGCTGAGGAAAGACCCTGGTGCCGGCTGGTCACGTGGCTCCCAGGATATTAAATTACCAAGGGAGGGATGGACAAATCTAAATTACAATGCTTCCACTTTGCAATAGTAAAATTCGTTGGCAAGGAGCGGACGTATTGGTTTGAATTGCAAAAAGTGTAATTTGAGAGCACTTTATATCGCAATTTGTCATTGTATAATTTGTATTGAATACTTCGAGGAATACTTCTTGTCAAATTGACAATTATGCGCGCGTTTGTGTTCTTTTTGTCATTCACATGCTGCCAGGCTATAGAAGCAAAGTTGATAATTTCAACGGCTCGAGTTTCATTGCATTTCTTGCTTGTTTGGAATTCGTTGTTCTAAATAGCGCATTTCATAACAACATACTGTACTGAAGCCGAAACTAAGCAACTTCTTTGTTTGGAAAGTATTTATTTATTTATTTATTCAATTTCGCCAGGTTAAATTACACGATTGATAACATTGTGTTCAAACTTCGACAAGAGTTGCAATTTAAACATACAGATCTCCGTGTTCTTGGGTCCTGCATCAAAACAACTGTGCAGGGCTTTCAAATAATACTGTCGTAAAGCACACGAGCAAATTTTATTTTGACAAATTTTATTTGATCAAATGCATTTAATCAAAAGCTAGCATGCTAGCTTGCTAGCTTTTGTTCAAATTAAATGCATTTGTCACAATAAATTTGTCACAAATTTATCATCTACACGAGCAAAATATCTTTGACATTCAATTTGCCCGTGTAAACGGGCCTTAACAAACTCTTAAATGTACTTAAACATATATTATTTATTCGACAAAATATGTTATTTATAATTTGTATCCTGGCAACGCTTTATATGGAAAGTCTCTGATTTTCGTCTGACCCGCCATTGTTGATGTTTGCAAGGGATATTTAATAAACAAGTCGATTTTCTTTCTCCATGGAAATCATTTGAGATATCTACTCAGGACGGTTCGTGTATTGTTATAGTTGTGTCTCCCTTGAATTCACTGATACAAGATCAAATATCTCGACTGAAATCAAGTGGCCTTCGCGCGTCTGCCATTCTATAAATATTCGCAAAAAATATTCCATGGAGAAATCACAATTGGATTGTACATTTTGGGTTTAAATGGGGATTACTAACATACGTATACGTATGACTATATTATTAATTGCGGTAAAGTATATTGGTATATGATATTCATAAACGATTGACTTACTTCTGTCGACATGGGTAAAGTAAAGGTGTAGCAGATCTAGTTTCATCACTCGAGGAGGACACATTGACAAAGTCAGTGTAAAAGCCAAACTGCGCCTTCGACTTTCAACTGCAGCAACATTTGCCGAAGATCTGGCAACGGATAGAAAAATTTCAGGGCATCGCTTGGATCGTGAATCTTTTACTAATGATTTCTGTGTTTCGGAAATTACATTCTTGAACGTCGTTCACACTAGGACGGCACTCGATCGGCAGATCAAATAAGGAAAATCATCAACATGCGGCAGTCTCTCGCCATGAATCAACTCCGTGTTATTCAAAATTCTTTAATTTGTTTTGTTGAAGAGATTCTTACAATGTATCTGATCTTGTACACCATTATATAATCGACAACGAGAACTATTTTCAGTTGATCCAGGAGATCTTTTTGTTAAATTTCTTTGGCGTGCTTTTGCAAAGCCGATATAGTGACAGTGAAATATGAGATATTTGTAATCCTTGAGAGTAATATGATACTCTTTCGGCTGCAACACATGATTAATCTGTTGTTTTAACATTTCGTCAAGAAAAAATCTTTTATTATTGTCTCGTACAGTTAGAATTTTACTATTTTACAAATTCAGAAACAATTTCAATACGTACAAATCATTTCTACCACCCCTCCCTGAATAGCAATTTATTTTAGCACCCAAAATCTGGGAGCCACGTGACCAGCCGGCACCAGGGTCTTTCCGCAGCTTGGGGCGTGCGAAGGTAAGAGCCTGGGTACGAGGTTGTTCTTTTTGTTGAACCGAGCATATTGATATCATATATCTATGATTGATATTTGTGGTTCAGAAGCAATTTTTAAACTGTCGAAAAGACAAAAAGTAGAAAACCTCCCAAAGCACTAGAGTTTAACACATATTTTTAGGGACAACCGCTGAGCAAGTTGTTGTTAGGTAGTCAAATGCCCGATCGGGCGGAATAAACTTCTGTCAAATTCCCGCCTATATTTGACCAGGATACATTATAGAAACCATAAAAGTCCATTGTGTGCATTAAAAATACATTTTAACAAAATACGAATTTCAATATTAATATACCGTACTCCGCTGCCTTGTATTAGACTCATATTTTCCGAAAAGCCAACGAACACTGGCCGATATAGACTTGCTCCAAGTCTCTCTTTCATTGTCATATATCGATCCACTACAGTGTACATTACATGACGTAGTACGGTGGGGCAGAGCGAGAAAAAGAGACTTGTCAACGTCGGAAAATCTCGGTTTCCAAACTGAACCGAAAATGCAAGACTTGCTTTAATTGTTTTCTGTCAGTGTTTATATGTATTGATCTAGCACAGTGTAAATAACATGAGTTCCATTATAGTAAATAATACAGAAAGAAATTGAAGGAAAACAATTAAAGCAAGTCTTGCATTTTCAGTTCAGTTTTGAACTGAGATTTTCCGAAGTTGACAAGTCTCTCTTTCTCGCTCCGCCTCTCCGTGCTATGTCATGTAATGTACACTATAGTGGATCAATATGACAATGAAAGAGAGACTTGGAGCAAGTCTATGGCCGATAGGGCAATGAATAAGAAACAAAGAAAGGGAGGAAACATTGCAAATCTTTCATAGCCAGCGTGGTAGGATCTTCTAGGGGAGGGGATTGAGGAAGAACCTGCCCGAAACACCCGCCACTTAGTTAACATTCTATATTAACACTGCCGGCCCGACTTGAAATAGTTTTGTATCAATGGCGGATTTTCATTTTTTTAAAAGGAGGGGTAGAGAAATTTCTAGTTGGGTGCAAATGGCACCACTGAGCGAGCTTTGGCAGGGGTCAGGCGTAAGGGTTAAAGACTTTCACACAAAATAAGAGGGGTGAAGCAAAATTTTGGTGGGGTTAAACACTTTATAAGTGGGGTTAGAGAGATTCTAAGGGGGTTTAACTCCCCCCCCCGCCCCTACCCCCCCAGTAAATCTGTCCAGGTTTTGTATAAATGATGACATAAAGTGTCAATTGTTGCATATTTACTAGCCAGCGCTACATATATTTACTGCAATATTATGAGCCACAATTAGTGCAGCCATACAGGTGCAAAAGAAATAATATAATTTTGAACAATCTTCAGCTACAAAGTTGAAGTTGAACATGTTCCACAGTTTCGGTGCAGCATATGAGAATGATGATACATAATCTTACAATCTTACAAATGTGGTTCATGGGGAAAACAAAACAAAACATGAATATACCTCACCACAAGGAGTTTGTAACATGAATATACCTCACCACAAAGATTATAATATGAGAGTATTCTGCGAGACTGGCATAATTTGACTGACCATATCGAGGAATGCGCGCAAATGTAGCTGCTTTCAAGCAAAATATGTTACGAACGCGGGTAATAACATAATATGAGCATACTGACTGGCAGCATGGATAATAAAATAATGTTTTCAATGGGCTGATGGCGTGATTGGATGTTGAAACCACTGAGCTATACTATATTACTGGAGGACCTGCTCGGGGAAAAAAGTGAAGCCAAAAACATGGCGGATTTCGGCCTTTGCTGACGCTATTTCCATGACAACTGGTCCGTATTTCTCATAGTAATTACCACTGACCAGGCTCGGATCTGAGCCCGCTACAATTTCCACACACCCCTGATTTTTTTAAAAAACTTTAGGTTTTTGCAATTTTGCTTGGGTTTTGTAGTATTTTCTCAAGGATTTGAATCGATTTTTAAAATATTTTCGTGATATTTTTTCTAAATTTGGTTATTGGTTCAAAGATGTGCAAGTCGTACGTGTTATTCTTCCCGGGAAAGACAACAAAACGAAAATCCAAACCTCGCACTGATGAGCAAAGAGGATATTTGAATCAGCGAGCTATATAAAACAGGTATTTCATTAAATTTTATTTATGCTTTATCTTATCTCACATAAAATTGATAGGCTTAACTTAAGCTTAACGATGAAATGCACTCTTTTTGTTAAGAAAACAGCCTTTTGCTGGGTTTTTTGGTGTAATTTGGCATCTGTATATTTCAAAATTTGGTTGCAGTCGAGAAACTACAACTTTTTGTTATTTATAAATTACTTTAGAAAATGCTATTAACTCCAGACGTTCCTTCAAAGCAAACGGTATGTCAGGTATGTGTTTAAATATATTCAGGTTTTGTGTAATATGTGCCAACTTTGCATACAAGGCTAATCAATGACTTTTGGAGTACTCAAATATTTCCCAAAATACCTGTAAATAACTTATATATAGCCCCCCCCCTAAGAAAATGTTGCTGTGTGATGAAAAGATATTACATTGGCCATTTACAACACATTGTTGGGGGGGGACAGGGTTGTAGGGGTGATCGATGTAAGCTTAGGTGGCACATATTAACTCATATCATAACCTTTACCCATTGAGCTGCAATGCACCGGACCCCAGTGCACCCTGCTTATTTTTTTTACTTGTCTCAGTGCCAGACAATTTTACACGTCGTCAGTGGGGAAGCTCTGCAGCTTAATTGGTTTAACAATTTGGAACACCAGATATACTGGATGGCAATCTGGCAATTACTCAGTAACTACTGTATGCTGCTTCCCTTGCACTGGGAAGGTACCTTGTATCCTGGCCACTTTTGATTATTATAACCATTAAGCCTGATAATTGCACCAATGGTTCTGGTGTCTCTGGTTTGGAGTTGAGTCACATTGTTTTGTTTTTCCCATCATCATTTCTGTGCTCAAAGTTACAACATATAATATAAACTTGTTTATTCCAGAATTATCTCACAATTGGGCTACCATAATTTGGCATTTGTTCTGACTCACTCTGGTTTCCCAATTAACCCATAGAGTGGCTCTCCCATCGACAAGTAAAAGTAGTGCAGGCAAAATACAGTACCAAGCAAGATGTATGGAAATTGAAGACACAAAAGCTGGATTAATTTTGAACTATTTTAATTGGACTTCTTCAATACAGTAAAATTATTAACAGTGAATAATTTAAATTAACACTAAAATTATTGTAATTAAGTGTACATGATGTAGTGGAGTATGTGTTAACTTAATTCAAGGGTGGATCAATAGGGGGGGTGCACACCCCTGTTGGCCTTGGTCAACAGGGGTGCAATAAAATCAAAATTCAGAAATATGGCATAATTTCCAAGGGTTTCCCTTTTTTGAAGTCAAAACTGAAGCTCATAATTCAATGTCCATATCACAGGAAATGGCATTTCTAGGGTTCTAATTTTCAAAATTTTCTGGGGGCATATCCCTGAACCCCCAAGGGAGCTCACGCCTTTGGTGCTTGAGTCGTTAGGAAGCCAATTCATTTGAATACTCTCCCACCACCCCTTAAATAATTATAAAGAAACACTTGGCTGCTCACCCAGCACCCCCTGGAAAAACCTTGCTGGATCCACCCCTGACTTAATGAACATTAACATTTAACTTAATAAAGGTTTATACTTTTATATGTTATCATGATCACCATCATAGACAGATTTTCAAATTTTGCTTGGGGAGTTGGAGTGTGGGTGTGCAGAAAAATTCAGGGGTGGAAAGTGAGTGCTGAGTAAGATGCAGCAGAGTCTGAAGGTACAGTCACTAGTGGGGACAGAGTTGGGATAAGGTTGGGGGCAACGACCCCAGGATATTTCGAGATTATTGGCCTTGGTTTTAGTCTTATTTAGTTCAATTATACTGCTGTCATTTAATCAAACCAGCATTTAAATTTATGAGGTGGTGAAAATATTTGGGGGGGGGGGGGTGCATACCACCACCCCCCAGAAAATCCATCAATGATTGCCATCAGATAATTAAGTTATTATGGTATTAATATGACTTCGCTTTTGGCTATTCTGCATTTTAATGCTTTATTTGTCCCATGTTTTGTGATATCTATAAATAATTCCTGCAAGATAAAAGACAACATTCAATCATATTACACTAATATTATTACACATTCTCCCCAGTGCCATAGCCAGAACGATAATTGGGGGGGCATATATTCATGTTCTGCTTTATTAATTTCTTTTGAAATCAATTGTTTTTATGGTATGTGAACACGAATATATGAATATGTGCCCCCCCAATTATCGTTCTGGCTACGGCACTGATTCTCCCACCTGAAAAACAGCATTCATTACCAAAAATTGTGGATGCATGCTTCTCATCCACAAAACTGCATATACACTTAATTAATTAATAAAGTTCCTTTTACATAGTACTGAAATGGCAAATCATTATCCACTAGTTTAATCATAGTTTCTCTGTAACCAATTTCATGAAAGTCAAGACAATCACAGGGAAAGATAACAATTTGTTCAAGAGAGAGGAAGGTTTCCACAGTTAGGTTAATTTTAATTAATAAAAATATTCTTGTTGTAGTTCTTTGTGTATTCCACTCTTGTTGTGGAAATACATGTATGGTTTGAAAGTCATATTCCAGAAAAATCCACCACACTCCAACTATACATGGAGAACATTTATGCTGTCTGGAGAGGAGGAATCTACTCCTGAGAAAAGCAAAATGCACTATAAATAGGATGGGGGCTTGCAACTTCACATTTCCTATGTAGGGATGATGTGGATGTTTTCAGATTTCAAAATCTTCTGGGTGAGCGTGCCCCCAGACCCGCTAACAGGCTCATGCCTTCGGCAGCTCCCTCACCGACCCACCCACCAATTTCTTAATGACGCCATTGATTGTTCCCCCACTTCTGTTTTACTGGCTATGCCACTGCTCACAACATCAAATTTAACAGTTTCTGGAGTCTCTTAATATTTGTCACTTGATTATATGGCAAAATCGGATCAGTCAATTTATTGTATCAGTATGTGAGCCATTACTACAACTATATGTTGATGTTATATAACAAGTGAATCCAGTGTAGCACTAGTGGCCCTGGCTATTTTGCTCCCCTCCCTGGCCTTGCATGTGCTAATCCTGGTCTATATTATAATAAGTGTATTAATCAGAGGTGTAACTTAACACTTGCCCGGGGCAAGTGAATATCATGACGGGCAAGTAAACGTTTTATCTTGCTTGCCAGATTGGGCAAGTTGCCTTGCCACAAAAAGCTGGGCATCTTTAAGTTTATGGTTTCATTGTCGGATAAATTTTTTATAGTGCATGTATTTGAATCAAATTTTGTTTTTTTGTGGGCCAAACGGGAGAACAGGTCGACATGTTGTCCCCTTAATCTATACCCCCTACCTAGGTACCCCAGTGGCCATTGTCTGATGGCAAGTGAATTTTATTCAGGGCGACTAATTTTCAAGTCCAACTTGCCCTCAGGGCAAGTGGTCAAAAAAGTAAAGTTACACCATTGTTAATAAATTATTTTCACACCATAATCTGTGTAAGACACATCGCCAGGGCTAAAACAAAACAATGAATCTTATGACCACAAATTTTACAAGGTTTTTTATGACATTTATGTCCAATATTCAAATATTTGCAGTTCATTTGACATGAGTGAACGAGTGTTGAATTTTGACAAAATATTTTTATAATAAATTTCGTACTATCCGTCCCATAAATCTTACCTGTGAAAAGAATTACTCGTCCTTTATGTAAAGTAAATTGTTGCATCAGCAAGCGGAGCAAAACGGCACTTTAATTCCTTCCAAGTTGTAAAAAAACCCAGCAAAATACGAGAAAGTATTATGTTTTTAACTAAAAAGTTGTAAAAACAGTAAAACCACAGATGAGGTAGATATCTATATCTACCTCATCTGTGGTAAAACACTGCCAAAACCAGGGGGGTGAAAACGTCGTCTGAAGCTCAGGATCGCGGTTGGTCAGTGGCAATTGTGTGAGAATTACGGACCAGTTGTCATGGAAATGGCGTGAGCAAACGTCAAAATCCGCCATTTTTTTGACTTCATTTCGTTGACAACCCAGTGAACTATATACATGGAAGGCTGACTTCAGTCATTGACGTAATCAAAAAGTGAAGCCAAAGATGGCGGATTTTGAAGCCATTCATGCGCGTCATTCTCAGTCCCCTACCCGCGCGGCCAAACATTTTTTGTATTTTCATGGCGGAAACAGCTGGTCGGCGTTAGATCATATAGCGTTAACGTACAG